ATGCAAGCGTTCACGCTGGCTCTACTGATAAGACTGATTGGAATTGACAAGTCCGGTGAGTGGGCGTCAGCGAATGCCATTCTCGTCCCCTCTCAGTCTAATGTAGGTACCCAATGACCACAGGTCGAATCTGTGAGCGGGCGGATATCCGCGCGCCCTTTTGAAGTGCGTGCATTTGCAGTGAATTTGTCGCGCGCGGCGTCCTTATCTGTTGCGAGCGGCTCGCTGTGGGGCCTCCTGTCCCTTTACTCAGCAATGCGCTTTGCACGGGAAAAATTGGTTTTAAAAATGCTGGTCATGCCCTGGCCTCTATAGTCAGAAATGTTTCAGAACAAAGGCAATTTGAACACTGATCTTTGCTTTTTGATATGGGTGATATATTTCTTTTCCTCCCAAAACCCATCACTCGCCGTTTCAGCTCACTCAGCGAAAGAATTTCGAAGGCAATACTCAGTACTGGAAGAAATTGGCCGCGGCGGTTTCGGTATCGTCTATCGAGCCGTTCGAATAGCTGACGGCCTTCCAGTGGCTGTGAAGTTCGTCGAACACCGACACGTTCGCGAATGGACTCTGGTAATTGATTGCTATTGATCTATTGATTGGGCCTTGTAATTGAAATTTTCGTTTCAGACAGGCAGCCAACTGATTCCCTCGGAGGTATGTCATCTAGAAACGTGTAGTGATGTACCCGGTGTCATTCGGTTGATTGATTGGTTTGCTAAGTGAGTTTTTTCATCGATCGGTTAGAGCTACGTCTGCAATCAATCATTATGTCCTTAGCATGGTGTTTTAGTTCAAAAGGCTTTCTGATAGTTATGGAGCGACCAGAGAACTGCATGGACATCTTCGATCTGATCTCAACGTATGGTAAACTAGACGAAGGTAAGGCATGTTGACAGTTTATTTTTGATTTTCAGTAGTGATTTCAATAAGAGTAGTCCTTCTACCCATTTGTCTACCTTATTCGGCCTCACGGTTCCCTACGGAACAGAAATGTTTCCTAGCATAAAAAATCAAGATAAATCGAGCTCTCAAAGTTTGGTATCTGCGGCCTATTACCCACGAAAGCTCCCCTGAGCTTTGTGCTGAGATTGTGGCAGAACTCGATCTTGAAGTGCTTGAAAGAGCGTTGAGAACCCTTGAGAAGTTTTCCATGGGAAATACGATGGACCCAGCTGTATTGATTCAGTTGTTGTATTGATCAGACCCTGTGACTGCCTGCCTAAATGTCTCTGAATTGCTTTGAATTTTCGAGAAGAATTTTTGCTCATGAATATTCCTCAGCGCCTAAATAACGGTCTTCATCAAGAATTTTGTGCAAAAACCATGACGCCATTGTGGTCTAACTTGATGGGTTACTTCGACACGCAATGCGGTGGATTAAAATTTCATTGGATTGGCTAGCGATTGAAAAAATAGTAGTTAAATGAGCCAGTTTCAAACCTAATTCAGATCGGCATCATTCGAAATTGAGAAGCATTCCATTCCAACAGTTACCAAGGCCACGTTTTTGGGAAACCCTCAGCTGTCGTTCCTCCATATTTAATGTGTGAATGGAACTGACGCAGAAAAAGCCTTTTTCAAATAAATTCATGGTCATTTTTAGTTGAAAAGAAACTCTCGTTATATCGGTGGGACCCGTTTATTTGGGGCGGTTTCTCTTTACAGGGAGGCGCTTCCTTGACACGGTAGATAATCTTCTATGAAGTAATCCTTATGTGAATTCGTTTGGGAAGACTGCATACTTTCATACTGGAAATCACAATGAAAAGGTTATAATGGATGGTATTAAGTGATTACTTGTTGTAAAGGTTCTTCAGGTGGTTACAATGATGATGACATTAAGTGATTGCTTATAATAAAGATTTGTTGGATCATTTTGGATCATAGGGCTTCAACTTAC